GCCAAAAATATCTCTCGCTTCCAGACCCAAGAGGCCCGGCTTGCAACCCCATCTGCTCCGAAAACCCGGGAGTCTGAGCCGTAATTGCTTCTAGGAGCCAAGAATCTGGGCCCACAGCCTGGGACTTCATGTCCCCGACTCCCACCGCCCTGATCCCAGAAATCTTGCTACCAGCCATCCCCACCGACACATGGGACTTTGGGGTCCGGCCCATCCGTCCCTTCCACCGCGAACCGCATTATAAATAGAGGATTAGGAGGGCCCACTTTACTCCTCCCTAAAATTCCTTAAACACTGCAATCCAACCACTGTTCTTTTGGGGACCCAGGAACCCCCTAAAGTCTAGGGATCGACACATTTCCCATTTCAGGGACCCGGGAGACAGAGACCCTAGCAAATAGACCCCAGTAAAGAGAGGCCCGCTCTCCCCAGCCGCTTTGCGACCCAGGTGTCCGAGGTTTCATCCATCCTGGCAGAGGAGGGAGATGAGGGGGGAGGGGACTGGAAGGGGAGAGGGAGAACTGACCGAGGTGAGACTGGGGTGGGGACTCGAGCTGGGGGGTGGGGGGGTGGCTCTGTCCTAAACAAAGGCCCAACACACGGGTTGCCATGGCAACGGCCTTCCCGGGCCGGCCCTGGAGAGTTCTCCATCCAGCGCTGGGGCGAGGAGGGCAGCCCTCCCGAGCCCGGACCCCGCCAGCTGTTGTGTCTTCCTGTTTTGTCACCACGGAAACAGTGACCTCAGCCCTCCGCCCCACCGCTGGCGGGGCGGGACCCCTGCGGCGCAGTCCTTCGCCGGAGGGGGTGCGGCCTTGCCTCCGGCCCCGCCCTCGGGGCGGGACTGGGATAGCCCGGGCCAGGGACTCCCTAATCCGGCTCGAGCCCGGAGTTCCGGCCCCGCCCACCTTCACTCCCCGGCCGGCCAGCCCCACCCAGACCACAGACCCTTCTAATCTGCAGCTGTCGCCTCTGCTTCAGCCGCAGCGGTCGCTGGCCTGTAAGGTGAGGCTGCGGGAACCCCCAAGGGTGGCCGCAGCGTCCAGGATTCTGGGTGCGGAGGGATTCCAATTGTCTCAGTCCCGAAAAAGGTTGTCTGAGTCAGGACTCGGGTCCCGGAGAGGAGACGGCTGAGGGCCTGAACTCACACAGGTCGTACGTCTGAAAAAGGAGGTGGGGTGGGGCCTGGACTCCTGGATCTGATGGAGGAAGGGCTGGGGGCCTGGACCTCTGGGTCTGGGGGAGGAGGGGCTGGAGCCCTGGACCCCTAGGTCTGAGGGAGGAGGGGCTGGGGTCTGGACCTCTGGATCTGACGGAGGAGGGGCTGGAGTCCTGAACTCGTACAGGTCATCTTTAAAAGGACGTGGAGTGGGGCCTGGACTCCTGGATCTGATAGGGGAGGGGGCTGCAGGGCTGGGAGGCTGGGGGCCTGGACTCCTGGGTTTGATGGTAGCGGGGCCTGCATTCCTGAGTCTGAAGGAAGAAGGGCTGGGGACCTGGACTCCTGGGTCTGAGGGAGGAGGGACTGGGGAGCTGGGGGGGCTGGGGGCCTGGACCCCTGGGTCTTGAGGGAGGAGGGGCCGGGGGCCTGGACCCCTGGGTCTTGAGGGAGGAGGGGCCGGGGGCCTGGACCCCTGGGTCTGAGGGAGGAGGGGCTGTGCTCCTGGAGGAGCTTGGAGTTGGGAATCCTGGGTTTGAGGAGAGTGGCTGGGGTCCAGAATTACGGACCTCCTCCCCATCCAGGGGGCAGAATCCGAACTTTGGACGCAAAAGGTATTGAGCTTCAATACCCATGCTGCCAAAGTGAAGATGGAGCTGGGTCGCCAGGGGTTGAGAGGCCAGGCTGAGGTTTTCAGGGCTCGATTCTGAGTTTTGGAGTGATGGGCTTTGGTGTTCCGCGCAGAGGTGGGGACAGGACTGGGGCGTGGCCCGGGACGTCCTGAGCTGGGTTCGGAAGCCAACGGGGTGTTTCCTCTGCCTGCTTGGGTCTCCGGCGGCTCATTCCTGAGCTCTGACCTCAAGCCACGGCTGGGGGCTCGGAGAGTGGGGACTGACCCCAACCCTCCAGGTGGTCCGCGCGCTAACTCAACTTCCAGGGGAGGCTCCCCGAGGCCCCGCCCTCTGCCTCCTGGGCGCGCCCTACTTCCTCCTAACGGGTCAGGGGAACGGGAGGTGGCAGACTCCTGCGGGGCACCTCCCAGGTGGCCCGGGAGGCCCAGCTCCGGCCGGGGGAGACCAGCCCTACGGGTGGTGGCGGAAGGTGTGGCCACTGTCTTCGAACTGGTTTCCAATACTGTGCAGTTTCCCGCCGCCACCCCTACCCCGAGATGCCAGGCGTGCGCAAGGCGAACCCAGGGGTCCAGGTACCCAGCCCTTCCTCCTTGGGCTCCGGGCTCCCGGCCCGCCTTTTAGGGACCCAGAACTCACATTTAGAAGGACCCAGGCATTCGACCTAGCAGCTTCTCCTCCCGGGACCTGGAGTCCGGGCTCCACTCCCAACCCTACCGCCCCCCCCCCCCCCGCCCCAGCATCCCTCCTTCCCTTCACCCTTCCCCTCCCCCGCCAGAATCCCAGGAGCAGGGCGGGGGTCGCGGCGCCGTCTCCCTGTCCTCGGCACATTCTGAATGGCTGGGCAGACTTGCAGCCCTTATAAGGACGGAGACGCGGCGCTGCCCGGGCTGCCCGCCCCGGCAGCCGCCGCCCAGGGCCCACCCCCGCCGCCGGCCTCCCCCCAGCCCTCCCTTCTCCCGGCTCTCGCGCAGGGGCAGGGTTATGATCACAGCCCGCCCACGCCGCCCCGCGGGGCCTGCACTCTTCCCAGCTTTCCTCCATTCCCGCCCGCGCAGGTTTTTTGGGGGGGTGGAGAGGGGAGGAAGGAAGGGGCGGGGCTTCCCTCGAGGTCACAGTTCGGGATTCCCGGGCCAAGTCCCCGCCCTGGCTGGGAGGCGCGCCCGGGGTCCACCACACCGACTCGCCACGAGCTCTGGGCCAGCCCGGGCGGGCTGGGCAGGGTCTAAGCTGGACGCTGACGTCTTCTCCCTCCTCCCCGCGATCAGCCCTTTTCCAGGTGTCTGATCCAATCCGCCTCCAGGACCGAATCTCTTTCTGGTGGGGGCCCTCCGCCAAGACCGCTGGTGAGTGGGGCCGGGGGCCTCAGACTCTTGGGTCCGAGCCGGGGAGGGGTTCTGGGGTCTGGACTCCTGGATCTGAAGGAGGAGGGGCTGGGGAATTTGGCCGCCTAGATCTTGACACCTGAGGAAGAAGTATGTTCAGGAACTGGTCTCCTGTGTCCCCAGGAAGCTCTTGTGAGGGACAGCTGGGCTGTGACCCTGCCCTCCTACACTGGAAAGAGGAAGTTTTATTGCCCCGGAGTTGAGAGAGGCCTTTTGAGCTTTCCAGAGGTGTTTCCCTGGTGGCTCAGTGGCCAAGAATCGGCCTGCAATGCAGGAGACATGAGACTGGGGTTCTATCCCTTAATTGGGAAGATCCCCTGGAGAAAGGCATGGCAACCAACTCCAGTATTCTTGCCTGGAGAATCCCATGGGCAGAGGAGCCTGGCGGGCTGCAGTCCACGGGATCGCAAAGAGTCGGACACGACTGGAGTGGCTGAGCAGCAGTAGCCGAGAGATTAGCTATTTTAGGGCCTGAGTGAGGATCTGGACACTTGGTCAGGAGTTTGAGGCCAGGGCCTCATTCCTGAGTCTTTGGGACAAGGACACTGTCTTTCTGAACCAGAGAGACCCAGAGATTTCAGTGGCCTGGGTCAGGAGAGGGGGCTGAAGTTCCCGGAAGTTGGGGACTAGCTGGCTTGGTTCCTGAAGGGGCCTGGACCTCATGTTGGGGGAGAGGCAGGAGGAAGCTTGACTTCCTTTGGGTGGAACTTCCCCAGGCTCCTCAGGGGGGTGCAAGTTCCCCAGGCTTCCCAGGTGGTGCTAGTGGTTAAGAACCCACTGAGACTCCAGTTCAATCCCTGGGTTGGAAAGATCCCCTGGAGAAGGGCATGGCAACCCACTCCAGTGTTCTTGCCTGGAGAGTCCCATGGACAGAGGAGCCTGGCGTGCTGCAGTCCACAGGGTCACAAGGGTTTGTCACGACCAAAACGACTTAACACACAGGCACCCCAGATCTAAACCCCTGTGGCCACAGGAGGGGTGCTGCTGAGGTTGCTAATACCCAGTTCCACCTGGGGACAGACTCCCCTTCAGTGAGAGGCAGCAGGCTGGAAGACTGGGAGCTCTGATCAGATGTGGGTCCCTGAGAAGGTCCCCGAGTGATGGCTAGACTCTTGAATGTGTCTGGAGGCTGGAAGTGTTTGTTAGATCAAAGAAAGTTCTGGCTGCAGATCCCTGGGTACCCAAAGGAAGGAAGTTGCAGTGGTGGGGTTTTTAAGAGATCACAGAAGACAGGGTCTCTTCTTCTGATGGGGGGTGGTGGGGAGGGCATAAGACGGGGACGTTTTAGAGCACAATCTTTTTTTTTTTTTTTGGCTGTAACCCAGGGCATGTAGGATCTTAGTTCCCCAACCAGGGATTGCCCCCTGCATTGGAAGTGCGGAAAGTCTTAACCACTGGTCCACCAGGGAGGTCCCTAGAGTAGAATCTTGAGTGGCTGGGTTGCTGAGTCCCTGGGGGAAGGAGAGCAGCTTTGTGTGTTTGGAGTGGAGGGGAAAAAAAAAAAAAAGAAACGTGATTTGACAAGAGTTGGCTTTCAGGGTGAAGAAAGAAGGGTCCTGGGGAAAAGAGAGACAGGGTACCTACCCTCCTGGCTCTGACGAGGCTGGAGTTGGGGAGGGGGCTAACACCTGGACCACCAGCATCCCTATAGGCCTGGGACTGGCCCGGTTTGAAAACTGAAAGGCCCAAACCCTGGGTACCCCTCCAGCTAGAGTCCAGATTACACCATCCACAATAGCCCCTCCAGGGAGGCAAGTGCCCCAGGGTCGGGGGGACCCTGGATCCTCCAGTTTGGAATGTTCTTAGGATCTTCTCTCCCCTCCCCCAGCCATGCCGGTGACGGTAACCCGCACCACCGTGACGACCACCATGTCGTCGTCCTCCGGCCTGGGCTCCCCGACCATCGTGGGTTCCCCTCGGGTGCTGACCCAGCCGCTGGGCCTCCTCCGCCTGCTGCAGCTGGTCTCCACCTGCGTGGCCTTCTCGCTGGTGGCCAGTGTGGGCGCTTGGACGGGGCCCATGGGCAACTGGTCCATGTTCACCTGGTGCTTCTGCTTCTCCGTGACGCTCATCATCCTCATCGTGGAGCTGGGCGGGCTCCAGGTCCGCTTCCCGCTGTCCTGGCGCAACTTCCCCATCACCTATGCCTGCTACGCCGCCCTCTTCTGCCTCTCCTCCTCCATCATCTACCCCACCACCTACGTGCAGTTCTTGTCTCACGGGCGCTCCCGGGACCATGCCATCGCCGCCACCGCCTTCTCCTGCATTGCCTGCATCGCCTACGCCACCGAGGTGGCCTGGACCCGGGCCCGGCCCGGTGAGATCACCGGCTACATGGCCACCGTGCCCGGCCTGCTCAAGGTGCTGGAGACCTTCGTGGCCTGCGTCATCTTCGCCTTCATCAGCGACCCGGTGCTGTACCAGCACCAGTCGGCCCTGGAGTGGTGCGTGGCCGTGTATTCCATCTGTTTCATCCTGGCAGCTGTGGCCATCCTGCTGAACCTCGGCGACTGCACCAACGTCCTGCCCATCGCCTTCCCCACTTTCCTGTCGGGCCTGGCCCTGATCTCCGTCATCTTCTACGCCACGGCCCTGGTCCTCTGGCCGCTCTACCAGTTTGACCAGAGGCATGGCGGTCAGCCGCGCCGGCAGATGGATGTCAGTTGCAGCAGAAGCCACACCTACTACGTGTGTTACTGGGACCGCCGGCTGGCCGTGGCCATCCTGACAGGCATCAACCTGCTGGCTTACCTGGCCGACCTGGTGTATTCGGCTCGCCTGGTTTTCGTCAGGGTCTGAGCCTCGTCCCCGGAGTGGGGCTCTCCCTAATTCCTCCTTCTCCCCGGAGGCCCTTCGAAGAGCTCTGGGCTCCCGCTGACTTTTCTCACATCCCTCCCAGCCCTTCCTGCACCCCTGTCTGTGTCCCTCAGGCTTCCTCCTGCGTTGCCTCCCTTCCTGTTCTTTTTGGGTGCCACATCCTGTTTCACTCCTGCCTGCTCTCTTCTCCAACGTTCTCTGCTTTGAGGCTCTCTTCTCTTTGCATCCTGTGTGTTTCCGCCTCTGCCTCCTTTCCTGACCCCTTGGGAGCGCTGAGCCTTCTTCCTTCTCAGCCCCACCAGCCCCTGCCTCCCACCTCCAAAGGTGCTGAGCCCCACATCACACACCCCCTTTTGCAGCTGTTCATACCCTGGGCCTCTGGAGGGGCCTCCTTGCCAAAGCATGCCTCCCGCCCTGGCTGTGCCTTAGTTGATGTGTGTGTGTGTTATCTGTATGTGTGTGTTTCAGGGGTGGGGGTGGGTAGTTAGGAATCAAGCCCCCTTTCTTCAATGCGGGTGGGGGGTATGTACAGTGTTCCTCCCCTTTAAGTTAAAAAAAGAAGAAAAAAACACTCTGGAGGTCAATAATTTCCAGTGGGCTGGAGGCTTAAAGCATAGACCCTGGGTCCCTAGGCCCCACCTGGTGCTCAGCCTCACCTGAGATTGGTTCCAGAATTTTTGCCAGGCTTATTAAAAACCCACTGCCTAGAGGCCATCTTAAAGGAAGCAAGGGATGGACACATTCCATCCCAAAGACTCTCTGAGTTATTGGAGGGAGCTGGCAAAGAACTGCAGGGTCTTGAAGACAACTGTCTCAAGTATTTGTGAGGGATAGGGAAGTGGTCCTCCAACTTCAATGTTAAAAACAGTATCTCCTGCCTTTGCTGGGAAGAAAAGAAAATGGCCAGTGCCAGCCTTCAAGGTGATGTTAGCCTGGGTTTTTTTTTTTCCTGGTCACAAGGGCAACAATCACTGGCTGGCTCTGTTCTTAAAAGGGAAGTTTCTTTTCAATTTTTTTTTTTTCTGGAGGGTAGGGTGGTGGGGATGGGAATTGCTACTATGCCATGGTCCAAAGAATCGCATTGCATTGCTTCAGTGTGTGTGGTACACACACAGGTGTGTTTCTGTGTGCTCGTTGCTTCCTGCTGCAGCTTCCTGCTTCTCTGGGACTCACATGTATAACCTGATCTATATAAATGTATAAATATATTTTTTATTTTTTTTTTAATTCCCTGGAGCTCTGGTTCCCATCGGCCCCTGCTGTCAGTCAGTCACAGAGAGAAGCCTTGTCCCTTCTCCCACATCCATAATGTTCTTTTTTTTTTTTTTAAACCTCAATATAAAGATAAAAGAAAGACTTGTGCCTGCTTTATTTATGGGGAGGGCTCCAGGAGAGAGGGCAAGGCCCAGACTTCTGGGTCTGGTAGGAGAAACAGGTTGGGATCGAAACAACCTTGGCCTCATCAGAAAAGAAGTGAGTCCAGATCTTCCAAATTTCTCCCTCAAATGAAGAGAGCTAATTAGGATAGACACGAACAAGATTTCTCCCTCTTTAGGGCTTGCCTGATGGTTCAGTGGTTGGGAATCCACCTGCCAATGCAGGGGAAACAGTTTCTATTCCTGGTCTGGGAAGATTCCACATGCCACAGAGCACCTAGGTCCCTCTGCCACGACTACTGAGCCCGTGTTCTGCAGCGAGAGAAGCCCCCGCAATGAGGAGCCCACGCACTGCAGCGAAGAGTAGCCCCTGCTCCCGGCAACTAGAAAGTTTGAGTGCAGCAACAAAGACCCAGCACAGCCAAAAAGAATTTGTAAAAAAGAATTTTTAAAGAACAAAGATCCCTCTTTGGAGTCCCACAAGCATCTGAGAAATACATCGTGTCTCATTCCGATTGCAGCAGAACCCAAGCACCACTTCTCACCATCTCCCCTCTCAGTCATCAAACACTGTATTCTTCCTAAATCCAACAGAGGATGAGATGGTTGGATGGCATCACTGACTCAAAGAACAGAGTTTGAGCCAACTCCTGGAGATAGTGAAGGACAGGGAAGCCTGGCATGCTGCAGTTCATGGGGTCGCAAAGAGTCGGACACGACTTAGCAACTGAACAACAACAACAAAATTCTATTTATATCTGTCACATTCTCCAAGCTCCTTTAGTTTTGCTTCACCCAAGCTATTGTTCAAGCCTCCTCCTTGGACTACCCTACCTGCAGCCCACCTTGACCCAGAAGGGTGCCTTGCTTTCAACATCCGGATCTGGTCCTGTCCTCCTCCGCTCAAATTCTTCCATATCCCACTCCACACTGCCCAAAGGTAACATCAAAGCCCCTCTGTCAAGGCTTTCAGGGTCTGACCCTCCCTGTATTCCCACTCTCAGCTCCATTTTACCCTCAGTTGTAAGCTCCCTGACACGCATGGTCAACAGAACACTTCCAAGATCAAATGAGTTACTCCTGCCACGAATCTCTGTCCCACAGGTTTGTCAGATTTCTCCAGGACTATCAAAAATACATAAGTGACATGATTTGGGGGGAAATTCAAGGATCGTGCAACCCATTTTCTCCACCTACAGCCGCAAAAAACAATTGGGAACAGATACTGCAAAAGAGGGAAGGGCCCCGCTGGAGGCGGGGGAGGGCTATCTAGAGCAGGCTTACGCCCTTTTGGGGAGGAAAAGCCTCCTTTCGGTCTCTGCACTGTCCACCCTGGAATTCCAGGGGACCTAAATCAATCCCCACCTTCTCGAATGGCGCCTCCCTCCCCACCCCACGCTTGACCCTCTTCTGGAATGCACCAGAACAGCTATAGGCCCAAGGGTGATGTGCTGGCGATTCGAGAAGAACCCAAGCCGAACTGGAACAGAGCGTGGTGGGGTTCCTAGGTCCGTTTTCGGGGCCACCCCCGCCCCCTGTCCTCTATCCTGGGGGACGGCGGACGCCTGGAAGGGCTGGAAAGCCAGTGGCCCCCACGTTTGGGGGTTTAGTGCTCGGATTCGCTCACGCCTCGACTAGTCTTTCAGAAGCGGACCTCGACCCCCGCCGAGCCCCAGGAAACGTGCAGTGGGCGTCTCGCGTCCCCAGGCTCGCCGCAGCGCCACGCCCCGTTTCGCGGGGCATGCCGGGAGAGAAAGTTCTCAGCCGCGATGCCAGGACAGCCGATCCGCAGGCTCAGACTACAAGTCCCAGAGTGCATTGCACCTCGCAGCCCCGGCCCTGCCGTGGTTGCCCTTGGCAACAGAGCCTGTCTCTCCTCCCCTCCCACCCCCAACGCGCCGGAACTGGGAAGCGCTTGCGAGCCGGGGGAGGGACTGGCTGCCACCTGAGAGAGGCAGAGACCCTGGTGGGGAGACGGAGGGGAAAACAGGAGGAGACCTGACCGGGCCAAACGTTCGGAGAGACCCTCCCAACCCCCGGACGGAGATGCCCAGGGTATTTCAGAGCCGGGGATGGGGACAGACTGAATCAGTAAGAGGCGTGGAGGGAGGGAAAGACCTTCCACCCACCCCCCGTCCCCGAGCTGAGAGGGATTCACAGAGACAGAGAGACATACAGTGAGTGAAGAAGGGACAAAGATAGAGCTGGAGAGGGGAGAAGGAAAGGGAGAGAGATCAACTTAAATACTCAGAGAGAGACCCCCAGCAATGGAGAGAGACTCACAGAGAGTGGTCAGAGAGGAACAAGCAGAGAGGAACGGAGAGGGACAGAGAGAAAGCATCTACAAAGACCAGGGGAGAGAAATGCAAAGAACCAGAAAGAAGAGAACACAGAGGAGGGAGACAGACACAGATTGACTCTCAAAGAGAAACACACAGGGGGAAGGGGAAACAGAGATCCATAGAGACAGAGACAGGGAGGGAGGAGAGATTCAGGGAGACAGACTTTGGAGTGAGAGAGAGAGCACCCCAAGACCCGGGAGGGGGGTGGTCCACAGGGGGAGTGATAGACATAGCTGGAGACACACAGCGAAGAAAAGAGAGAAATAAAAACAGAAATTCTCAGAGACGAGGAAAGGGGCCCAGACCCACCCAGAAAGTCAGAGGGAAAGCTAGAAATACAGGGAGAGGAACAGAGGCCGAGGGAAAGGGACACTCCCGGAGGGAGACACAGACGTACAAAAATCACAAGAAGCCCAGAGGGAGAAATCGAGACTTGGGTGACATCCGAAAAAGTGAGACGCCAAGACTCCCTCCTGCTCACTGTTGGATCCCAGCACCAACACAAAGTTTGTGCAATGAAACGGGGAGACACACTCAGACGGAGACCCTAGGGGAGTTGCGGTGGGCTCACAGGAGTCGCCGCGGCACCCTGGAGGGGGTCGGAAGACGGGGCGGCGCGGCAGATTGGGGAGGGGGTAGGGCACAGAAGAGAGGGTGCCCCCCCACCTTCATCCGGCCTCCGGAGTGGGTGTGCGGACGTGTGTGTGTGTGTATGTGTGTGTTGGAGATGGGGGGCATAGTCCCTGGGCTCTCCAGGAGGGGGGGGGAGACGCCTTTAAGCCGAAACCCCGCCCCCTCGGTCGTCATGGCAACGCCTCCCCCCGCCCGGGGCTCCCACATTTCAGCAGGTGCCGGAGCCGGAGCTCCCACCACCGCCGCCGCCCGTGCCTCCGGCTCCTCCGCGCCCGTGCTCTCGGCTCTCGCTCCCCCTGGCGGAGCCGGCGCGCCCCGAGGCTCCGCTCCCGGCCCCGCGCGCTCGGCTCCTGGAGGTGCCTCGCCCCTCTCACTCCCACCGCGGCATCTCCCGCCGGCTCTTCTGTCCTGCCGAGCCTCCGGCTAGTCGCCCTTCCACCTGTTTCCCCAGACAGGCAGGATCCCGGTCCCTGCTACGTTCCTGGGGCCATGTCCGGCCTGGGCCCCGGCGGAGGCGATTCAGAGGGCGGACCCCGGCCCCTGTTTTGCAGAAAGGGGGCTCTGAGGCAGAAGGTGGTCCATGAGGTCAAGAGCCACAAGTTCACCGCTCGTTTCTTCAAGCAGCCGACCTTCTGCAGCCACTGCACTGACTTCATATGGTGAGGGAGGGGGCTGGGGCCCCGAGGGATGGGGCCCCCTGATGAGCAGAAAAGAAGGGCAGCGGCCCTGGCTCCTGGCCCCCGGCTGGGCACGGGTTAGAGGCCGGCACTCCTGGGTCAGAGAGAGAGAGGCGGGCGTCCTGGCCTTCTGGGTCCGAAGGAAGGGGCTGGGGGCTTGGGCTCCTAGGTCTGAAAGAAGAGGGACACGGACGAGGGGGGGCAGGATTTCGGGGTCCTGGGAAGAGGAGGCTAGCTGGGGTTCAGACTCCTGGGTCCGACGGGAGGAAGGTGGGAGTACCCGGGCCTCCCACGATCCGCAGAGGTGAGGGGGTCCAGCACCCTGTTCTGCACTGACCTCAGATCCTTGACTCTCACAGGGGGATTGGAAAACAGGGTCTGCAATGTCAAGGTAAGAGCTGTGGACCTGGACTCCTGGGACCCTCGGGAGGGTGGAGGCTGGGGACCCGCAGCCTAGGCTGCTTGACACACGTGTTCGCTGGTCCCCAGAGGCGCGGGGGAGCCCGGGGCGGGGGGTGTGGCAGAGACACTGCCTGCATTTGGGGGGGTGGGGAAGCTCTGACGGCGGGGCCACCGCGGAGGTGGCACTGGGGGCCCCTCCCTCGGCCGGCTCCAGGTGGGGACAGATATTTGGAGAATCTGTTGCCATGGGAACAGGGAGATTTTGGGAAAGGGGAGCTGAAGGGGGGGCTGGAGATGCAAAGTCAGAGCCCCCCCCCCCCCAGGCTGCTGTTGCCATGACAACAACACCCGTCCTAGGAAGGGGCAGGCCGGGTGGGGTCACCGATGGGCGGGTGGGGGCTGGGTGGGGCCGGCAGATATGGGGGCCGGGGGAGGGGGGGCGAGTCCTAAAGTACCAGCTGCTACTGCTGAGAGCAGAGTGAGTCAGGGAGGGGGGCGGGCCGTCGGCGTCGCCCCCCGACTCACTTCTGCCCAAGTTGATGCTCTCTGTTCTGTTGAAGGACCTCTCTGTGTCTCCTGCCTTCTAGTCTGCCTGCCTCTCTCTTCACTTTCTAATCTCTGTCCCTGGATCCTGCTTTCTCTGTCTCCCTCTCTTGCCCTCTCTCTGTCTCCCTCTCTTTCTCTGTCTCTCTGCCTCTCTATCTCTGTCTCCAGCTCTGGCTGTGTGTAGGCACTGGGCGCTCTGTGTTTCTCTGTTTCCGTGACTCTCTGCATCTCTGTTTCTTTGGATCTTAGAATTTCTCTCGACGCCCCCCGACTCACTTCTGCCCAAGTTGATGCTCTCTGTTCTGTTGAAGGACCTCTCTGTGTCTCCTGCCTTCTAGTCTGCCTGCCTCTCTCTTCACTTTCTAATCTCTGTCCCTGGATCCTGCTTTCTCTGTCTCCCTCTCTTGCCCTCTCTCTGTCTCCCTCTCTTTCTCTGTCTCTCTGCCTCTCTATCTCTGTCTCCAGCTCTGGCTGTGTGTAGGCACTGGGCGCTCTGTGTTTCTCTGTTTCCGTGACTCTCTGCATCTCTGTTTCTTTGGATCTTAGAATTTCTCTCGATGTCTCTCTGTCTCTCTCTGCATGTCAAGGTCTCTTTGCTTTTCTCTGTATCGAACCTTATGGAGATCCCTCTCTCCAGGGTTTCTGTCTGGGTCTCCCCTCTTTCTGATTTTCTGTTCACTGGGGTCTCTCTCCACTCTGGGTTTCTATGATTTTTGCCTTCAGTCTGCAGTTTTGTGGTTCATCGACGATGCCACGAATTTGTGACCTTCGAGTGTCCAGGCGCTGGGAAGGGCCCCCAGACGGACGTGAGTGCCCGGACACCTGGTTCTCCCTCCTCGGGCCGCGCCCCCGCCCTCACCCCCTCGGCGTCCGTCCCAATTTCTCCTGCTATTTTTAAGGCTGGGAGGGGAGGGGGGCTGGAGAGATAGGGAGAGCTGGTCTGGCCCAGATTCCCTGCCCTTGGCCTGGAAAGGGGGAATGAGAGGGGACCGAGACTGGCTGGGGACCCAGGTGGGGGACAGAGAGGAGGCCGGGTGAGGGGACTTTGGTGCTGGAGGAGCTCGGCTACGATCCAGGAGCTAAGAGATTCAGAAAACAGAAGGATGAGGGGCAGAGAGACAGAGGGAAATTGATGCAAGCACTGAGATCCTGAGATAAGACAGAGAAAAAGAGCCCAGAGATGCACAAAAAAAGAAACCCAGGCAGATTGGGGGAGGGGGAAGAAAGCAAGAGCAGTGGAACAGAGTCAGTGACACGGGAGGAAGGAAAAGGGAACCCAGAAAGACTGAGAGACAAACTCAGAGACAGAGGGGCAGACACTCAGAAAGGGAAACTAGAATAGAAAATGGTAGATAGAGGGAACTGCTTAGCAGGTACTGAGAGAGGGAAGCCCGAGAGATCCTGTCATACACACGCACACACACATGTGCATTTATAGATGCCCCCTCTATGTGTGCCATGCACACACATATATTTGCATACACAGACACATATGTATGTATGCACACACACAAATTCCCCATGTTGCACACACATAGGTGCATGCACACATCCCTCGTGTACGCACACACAGATACACACAACCATTCTCTCCCTCCTCTCCACCCCCAACATCAAGGGGCTAACAAGAACTGTCCACCCTGCATGCCCACCCCCGATCCCTCCTTCACTCTCTGTCTGGCCCTGGGTCTTCTCTCTGTGAGCCTCAGTTTCACCCTCTGTAAAGTGGGGCTGACCATCTAGTGCTGACCTGGAGAACTTTCCGGCATGATGAAAGCATTCTGTATCTTTGTCGTCCAGCTGCCAACAACCATAGCTAGCCATCAAGGGACGGAAATTTAAAATCCTGCTTGGTTTAGTCACTAATTTGTGTCGGGCTCTTTGCAACCCCATGTACTGTAACCCACCAGGCTTCTCTGTCCATGGGATTCTGCAGGCAAGAATACTGGAGTGGGTTGCCATTTTCTTCTCCAAAAAATCCTGCTTAATTTGAATTAATACATAGCAACCTGTAGGATTTCCCTGATCCAATGGTTGACTCCACACTCCCACTAGAGATGGCACAGGTTCAGTCCCTGGTCAGGGAACTAAGATCCCACATGCCATGCGGAACAACCCAAAAAAAAGAAACAGCCGCCTATAGTTAGGGCTACCGTGTGGGATAGGCATCAATCTAGACGCCCCCAGGCTTGTTTTGACAGTTCAGTGAAGTCAGGCAGCATGAGACTAGCCCAGGGTTTGACACAGAGTTGGAGATGGTTTTATGGTTAGCAGATGGAGAAAGAGGCGGGTTGAGAAAGAGAGAGAGCACACCACGGAAGTCCAGGAGGCATTCTGCCAGCTTGTCAGGTCAAGAAAACTGAAGTTTAGAGGATGCGACTTCCGAGAACATAGACTGAGCTCCACTATCTCCCAGCACTTGTATGTATTATGATTTGCTGCCTCACCTGCCCACTGCCACCACCACCAAACACTCCATCTGATTTACCCAAGGCTCATTGTGTGTACTTAACAGGGATCTTGTACATAGCATAAGAATGAATCTTCTCAACAGCTTATAAAGTTAGGTATTGTTCCTGTCCCCGTCTAACGGAGGTTCTTGGGCCAGGACACCTGGGCTTGAGTCCCACCTCCACCGCGTGTTGGTTCTGTGACCTTCCAGAAGTTAATTTACCTCTCTGCACCTCTGGAGTTCCTTGTCTGTAAAATGGGGTTTAATAACCATGCCCTCATCTGATAGGATTGTCTTAAGAACTGAATGAGCCAACTCCTTGGGTATGAATACCTGGTATGTAGCAAAAGACAAAATACTAATTATTATCATCGTAAAATTGTTACTATTATTGGTGAGGAAATGAAGGGAAATAGTGCAGACAAGGCCTTTCCTCTCTATCTGGCTTTCTTTTTTCTCTGTGAAGCATTAAGCTTTTATTCTTGTCAGCAACACAGATCAAGGCCTTAAGAAGTGCTCAGGGCTCCAGACGCATGATTGCATTCCGTCTGCACAAGAACCCTTTCAGGGAGGTCTCACAGTCCCATTTTATGGGGAGGCTCCCTGAATTTCTCAAAAGGGTGGTGTGGGGGAAGGTCAAACAGCTGGGTCATGGGAAGAGTCAAAATTTGGACCCTAATCTTCCAAATCGGAACCCCAGTACTGTCTCCCTTTTTAATAGCTACTTTCACCCTGAGAATAACCACAGAAGCTCCCTTGTCAGGTACCCTGCTGAGAATTTTCACCCACAGCATCTCATTTCATGGGGCAGGAACACTGGGAGCTCGGGTCAGCTGAAGGTCTTTAGAGGTTCAGAGAATGCAACTGCCAACACCTCTCCCCACCCAAGTACCATTCAATCCCTGCTGAACTTGTAAATAAAATCCTAAGAAGGTCTTGAATTTTCACCCTATGAAACTCTTACAGTGCACTCATAGAAAATGAAACCCAGGTCTCCAGCATTGCAGGCAGATTCTTTACCTTCTGAGCCACCAGAGAAGCCCCAAAGTGTTCGTCACTTGTTTGTGTCTGACTCTTTCTGACCCCATGGACGGTAGCCTACCAGGCTCCTCTGTCCATGGAATTCTCCAGACAAGAATAATGCAGTGGGTAGCTATTCCTGTCTCCAAGGGATCTCCCCCACCCACAAATCAAACCCGGGTCTCCTGCACTGCAGGCAGATTCTTTACTATTCGAGCCACCAAGGAAGCCCTCTTAGAAAAATGCAAATATCAAGTTGTTTCGTACTCAGACATTGCTGAGGGTGGAAGGAGGAATGCTTTTCCTGGTGTCTTAAATTCATGCTTAATTGGAATTGAGCTATAAGCACTGCTTCAAGATATAGTTTATTTCCATTGGGCAGATAAAGACACTGAGGCTCAAAATCGGGCATGTACCTGAAATCACACAACTGGGAAATGGCCCAGCTCTTGATTAAACCCAGGGCTATGTGGGGACTGCAATAAAATCACCAGTAATAACCATGGCAGTAATGACAGCAGTAACACTGCCAAGCACGTTTTACCAGACCCTGCTGTGTGGTTTACACTTAATCTTTGGGATACCTGGGTCCCTAAAACTGAGAGGGCATAGTCTCCATCCCACACGGGGCTCAGAGAAGGCTGGTCGTCACTGGCCAGACATTGAAAGAGGCTGACCATGAATGATCCAGGGTTCATGGTGGCCCACAAGTCCTCAGACAACAGCTTGTGGAAGACTATGGGGTAGGGACTGTGGACCTTGGAAGCCTCCACTTCCTTCAGATTCTTCCCAAATTCCACCTTGTTGGTACAACCTTCCCTGATCACTCTATTTCACATTTCAATCCCCCCCACCCGACCCCTGACAGTGTGCATCCCTCCTCGATCTTTGTCCAGAGCATCTGTATCCATAACTCATACTATACATTCTAAGATTGTTTTTATGGGGACTAGTTTTTAAAGTCTTTATGGGATTTTGTCACAATATTGTTTCTGCTTATGTTTTGATTTTTTGGCCCCAAGGCATGTGGGTCTTAGCCGCCCCACCAGGGATGGAACAGGTACCCGCTGCACTGGAAGGCAGAGTCTTAACCACTGCACCACCAGGGAAGGCCCTATATATTTTATTTGTTGTGTTCATCTTCTGTCTCCCTCCACTAGAAAGTAAAGTCCACACGGACTGCATTTTTATTGGTTTTGCTCAGGGGCTCGGTCCTCGCACCAAGAAAAGTGCCAGGCACGCAGTAGGTGCTCCATAAATACTGGGGAGTGAATGAGTGAGGCGGAACAGCAGGAAGACTGGGAGAGCAGGGCTGAAGAGGAAGAGTGGGGGGGGGGGAGGTGCTTGCTCAGGACCCCCTCCGGGCCCCCTCTTCTGACCGACTCCTCCCTACCGCCCCCCACCCCAGGATCCCCGGAACAAGCACAAGTTCCGTCTGCACAGCTACAGCAGTCCCACCTTCTGCGACCACTGTGGCTCCCTGCTCTACGGGCTGGTGCACCAGGGCATGAAGTGTTCTTGTGAGTCTGCGAACCCGGCGCTTCGTGGCCCCTGCAAAAGCGCAGAGTAACGCGAGTGGTGGTTGGCGCGGGAGGCGGGGAGCGTAGAGGAAGGGAAGTGGAGTCTGGAGTTAAAGGCGGGAATCACAGTCCCACCTCCCAGTTCTGTCCCCCTGCACCAGGCTGCGAGATGAACGTGCACCGGCGCTGTGTGCGCAGCGTGCCCTCTCTGTGCGGCGTGGACCACACGGAGCGCCGGGGGCGCCTGCAGCTGGAGATCCGGGCGCCCACCTCCGATGAGATCCACGTCACGGGTGAGACCCCGCCTCCTCGTCTGGCCCCGCCCCTTTCATCTCAGGGACTGGGTCGGGTCCACACGAGCTGCCCGCCCACTCTCACCGACCCAGAGAAGCCACGCCCCCTCGCAAAGGTCACGCCCACACTGCTGACCCCGCCTGCACCGGCTGAGCGCCACCCGGCCATGCCCCTTTCCGCTCGAGGCCCCTGGTCTCCAGCCTTGCTTCTCCTGATGGCTGTTCTAGGCATCAAGGCCCTGGGGGTGGAGGTGGGCGCGGACGAGAGAAGAACTGGTACCAAGGGAGGTTCCGGTTTACTACATGGCTTCCCAAGTGGCACAGGAGACATAAGAGCCCCGGGTTCCATCCCTGGGTTGAGAAGATCCCCTGGAGGAGGGCATGGCAACCCACTCCAGTATTCTTGCCTGGAGAATCTCATGGTCAGAGGAACCTGGCAGGCTACAGTCCATGGGGTCGCAAAGTCGGACACGACTGAAGTGATTTAGCATGCACCCCCTGGTGATATGGCCAGGATCCTAAGGGAGCCAGGGACTTTGGGTTTGATTTCTGGGTCATTGGCTGGGGAAAAGGCTTCATGCCCCATGTTCTGGGCACTGGAGAAGTAAAAGATTTTTTTTTTTTTTTAAGAAAGAAAAGGAAACAAAAAACCTGGGTCATGGAAGAGGACGTAGAGAGATTGAAATTCGTGACTGCTGGCTGGGGGAAGGCTCCGGGGCCTCTCCCTGGATCTTAACCCCATCTGCCTTCCTTCACCTCCCCCCTCAGTTGGTGAGGCCCGGAACCTCATCCCAATGGACCCCAACGGCCTCTCCGATCCCTATGTGAAGCTGAAGCTCATCCCAGACCCTCGGAATTTGACCAAACAGAAGACCCGCACGGTGAAAGCCACGCTAAACCCTGTGTGGAACGAGACCTTTGTGTTGTGAGTCTCGGGTGCAGGGGAGGCCCGGTGATGACTGACGACAGAACGATCTGAGAGTCCTAGTGGCCCACAAGCCTGCAGGAGCAGGTGGTAGGATAGGAGCCCCGCAAAGGGAGAGGAAGGCGGTGGGAGGAGAAAAAGAAGTGACTGAGAAAGAGGGATGGAGACCCAGAAGGTGACCGTTTTAGAGTTAAGACAGAGGTCAGAGAGATTAGACAGACCCTGAGACTCAGAGGAAGAAACATAAAGCCAGTAGAGACACAGAAGGCTTGGGGCGGGGTGTGATAGGTGGGCGGCAGGAAGAGAAAGAGAAGCCAGCTGAGAGAAAGACAGAAGGACGGTTCTGGAGGGAGGATCAGGGGAGAGATCCGGAGAGAACAGCCCAGAGGCACGGATGCGAAAGACCACGGAGAGGGACTAAGAGAGCGCCCTAGGTCGACCTCGGGCCCAGGTGGGGAGAGGGACCCTCTTCGGGAGGACCCGGGGTGGGAAGACCCTCCGCAGAGCTGTAAAGAGGCCCCAGCTCAGGAGGCTTATCGGCTCCTGCAGCATCAAGGGTGCGGAGGTCGGGGAGCCACGAGCTGGCCCCTCACTGCGCCCCTCTCTCCCCGCAGCAATCTGAAGCCGGGGGACGTGGAGCGCCGGCTTAGCGTGGAGGTGTGGGACTGGGACCGGACCTCCCGAAACGACTTCATGGGCGCCATGTCCTTCGGCGTCTCGGAGCTGCTCAAGACGCCGGTGGACGGCTGGTGAGGGGCGGGCGAGGGCGGAGCTCGGCGCCGGCACCTGCGCCTCCTTCCCCTGGGGTGTGGTCTCTCTCCTTCCGCAGACGGCATCCGCGCCTCCTTTCCCAGGCGTGTGTTCTCACTCCTCCCGGACGGACGCCGTCCTCTCGGCCTCCCTGGGCTGTTTTATCCTCCCCCTACCCCCGTCCCTCTCTTCTTATCTCACTCTTCCTCTTGCTCTCTCCGTCTCTCCCTCTCTTCCCCCCTTCTGATGTCTCTGCCTCTCCCTTGGATGTCCCCCCACCCCCGCCCCATCCGTCTTCCCAACCTCCCCCCCACCCCCCTCTGGTCTCCGTCTGTACGTCAGGTACAAGTTACTGAACCAGGAGGAGGGCGAGTATTACAATGTGCCGGTGGCTGACGCCGACAACTGCAACCTCCTCCAGAAGTTCGAGGTACCCAGACCCCGGCTTCCCCCGCCCATCCCACCCCCGGGGAGCGCAGCCTCCCACAATTCAGAGCTGGCCTTCCCCAGACTCCATCACTGCTTGCTCACTGGTCCGGGGACGAAAATTCCCAGAAGACCCTGGAGTTCTTTCTGCTTTTCTAAGGGACTGCTGGGAATTGAACTTCCTATCCATCCCCGGACTTCCCAGGTGGCGCTAGTGGTAAAGAACCCTCCTGCCAATGCAGGAAACACAGGAGAGGCGGGTTCAATCCTGTGTTGGGAAGATCCCCTGGAGGAGGACATGGCAACAGACTCCAGTATTCTTGCCTGGAGAACCCCATGGACAGAAGAGCCTGGTGGGCTACATACAGTCCATGGGGTGGCTAAGACTCAGACACGACTGAAGCAACTAACACACATGCACACACATCCATCCCTATGGCTTGGGGATCCAGGGGCCCCCATCCCCTGCTTTAGGGCCATCGCCTGCCTCTCCCAGGAGGCTCTGACTCTGATTTCTTCTCCCCCAGGCCTGTAACTACCCTCTGGAACTATACGAGGTGAGAAGAGTCAGAGGCTTGGGTTGGAGGCAGCTTCATTCCCGTGGTTTGTATCTGTCCCCGACATATCTCATCCCTCTCATATCTGTCTGCATTTCCACACGCATGGGTGGAGAGCATACCATACCTAGGGACAGGTCTTGTGTTTGCTGAGTAATCTGCGCTCTCTGGAGGTCAGTCTGACCCTCAGGCAATTCCCTAAGGTAGGGACAGCATCACAGATTCCTTAGATTCAAGGATGCTGAGAGGCTCTGGGTCCCGTATTTCTGGCATTCCATGGACTTTGGGCCCTGGCTCTGGAATTCTGTGGTCTGTCATTCTGGGCCTGTGGGTCTCAGATTCTGTGGTTACACTTCTGTTTTTTCCTGGCACTGAAGAAGGAGCAGAGCTCTAGGAGATGTAGATCCAAAATAGGGTTCTCTCTGCCACCTGCAGCTCCTGAGGCAAGTGTTTTTATGCTGATCGCGTTGCAGTCTTCAGCGTTTCTATTGTTGGGGGATGGTAGGAGGCGTACAGGGGATGGGAGGATCCCAGTACACTTGGGGAGCTTCCATCGTGCCCCCACTCCCCTCTGGGCTGAATCAACCTTGGGGAGCAAAGGTCCAGGATCCCCAGCTGGGGCCGTACCCAGCCTCTGTGATCTGTGTTTAATGACTTGTGGTGAACCATGGCTTCAGGCGCCCTGCCAGCCAAGCCATGTGTGTATGACGTGAAGTCTTCCAACTGGCCTGGGATGGGCCCCAAATCCCCCACCCCCACCCCCAGCTCCCCACCCCACTGTGCGCCTCTCCATAAGGCCGCCAGTAGCGTCTGTCATCCCACCCTGGGAAGATTCAGGAAAGGGGCTCTCGCAGACCCAGGCCCTTCTCTGTTCCTGACTTTGTGGGTGTGTCCCCCCTCGAGTGGCCCCTAAGGACCCACTCTTGTTGGATGAGGGCCGGGCAGGGCCGCCCCCAGATCAGGGCCAGCCCGTGAGCTGGAAAAGCCAAAGGCATCTGAGGAATTCCCAAGGGCGTGGTGTGTCTGGGGCACTTCCAGTTTCACAGGTTTCCTGCCCAGCACAATCCCTGGGTCAGGGAGAGCCCCGTGCAGAAGGAAATGGCAGCCCACTCCAGTATTCTTGCCTGGGAAATCCTGTGGACAGGGGAGCCTGGTGGGCTACAATCCCTGGGGTCACAAGAGTCGGACATGACTTAGCGACTAAACTACCGGGGCACCCAAGAAGCACAGAGGTTAACCCAGTCTGGCAGGGGCCGGGGGAGGTGATCAGGGAGGACTTTCCTGAGGAAGTGACAGCTGAATTACTCCTTGACTTTTTCTGTCCATTTCTCACTGTGGCCTTTCTCTCCTCCATTGGTTTTTGGTGTGTTTTTTTTATTTGGTTGTTTTTTTTTTTTCACTTCCTGAACACCTATTTCCTGAAGTTTTACATAAGTCAGGCCCTATTCTGGGAGTCGAATCAGGCCATTCCCTGGGGAGCTCCTCTTTCAATGAAAGTTACAGATAGAGAAGGAATGTATTTGATCGTGGAGATGGCCTCGGGCACTGGGGAGTCCTAAACCTCTGGCAGGACCTGAGAAAGTCAGAGAAAAACTTCAATGGGAAGTACAGGATTCCCTGGGTAAAGGAAAAGGACAGATTTCCAGACCAAGGAAGGAACACATGCCCTCTTTCTCTCTTTCTTCACCGTTGGCTCAGACAGTAAGGAATCTGCCTTGCAATGCAGGGGATGTAGGTTTGACCCCTGGGTGGGAAAGATCCCCTGGAGAAGAGAAGGGCAAGCTGGCTCCAGTATTCTTGCCTGCAGAATTCCACAGACAGAGAAGTCTGGCAAGCTACAGTCCACAGGGTCCCAAAGAATCGGTTATGACTGAGCAACTAACACTTTCACTCTGTTATTTCTTCTTTCAAAACAAACATATTTTTACTTGAGCCCTCTGTGTGCCAGGCAGAGTTCTAATCACTGGGGATATAGCAGCAAACAAGAAGAGAGGGGGAAAAAATACACTCCTGCCCTCCTGGGAGGAAGACATTAAACAAAATAAAGGCGCTGATTATCCTGTGTTAGACAACGATGAATGACTATGGAGAAAAACAAACGCTAAAGATAGGGAGTGCTGTTTTGTGAGACTTTACAATAAGCAGGGAAGGCTTCACCGAGAAAGTGACCACTGGGCAAAGAGATAAAGGAGATGAAATAGTGAGCCGTAAGGATAGCTCAGAGCCTTCCCAATGGAGGGAAGGTCACGTGCAAAGGCCCTGAGGTGGGAGCAGGCCAGCTATGTCTGGGTTCAATCCCTGGTCAGGGAACTAGATCCCACATGCTGCAGCTAAGACCCAGCACAGCTAAATAAGTTCATTTTTTAAGTAAGTAAATAGACCAAGTGAGATGGGAGGGCATTGGAGGTGGCCCGAGATAGTTTTGATTCGGACAAGAGGACTACCTCTGTGTCGAGAACTGACGGTAGGAGGAGGAAGAAGGCATCATGGAGGTCCAGAGGTGAGTTGCTGGCAGCTCGGCCCAGGGAGGCAATTACAGTAAGAGTGTTCAGGTTCTGAATGTGCTCTGAAGTTAGACGTTCAGGACCTGCATTCAGCACTCGACTCCAGACCCAAGCCACCTGCTGGGTGATGGTGGAGAAGCACAAAGGAGGGAGACACAGTCTCTGGCATTAATGAGTTTTGATTTCTGGCTCTGCTTTTTACCTGCTGTGTGACTTTGGGCAAGTTGCTTACCTTCTGTAAGCTGGGAGATCGGGTGGTGGTGCTGATGGGGAGGATTGATAGCATATAGTAAGCTGTCTAAGTGCTAGCTGAATACTAAACTCTCCAGGCAAGTGTGCTGAGTCTCTTCAGTCGTGTCCGACACTTTGAGACCTTCCAGGCTCTTCTGTCTGTGGGATTCTCCAGGCAAGAATCCTGGAGTGGGTTGCCATGCCCTCCTCCAGGGCATCTTCCTGACCCAGGGAGCGAACCCACATCTCTGATGTCTCCCCCATTGTCAGGCAGCTTCTTTACCACTAGTGCCACCTGGGAAGTCCAGTGTTAACCGTTCAGTCATGTCCAACTCTTTGGGAACCCATGGACTGTATCCGTCAGACTCCTCTGTCCATGGGGTTCTCCAGGCAAGAATACTGGAGTGGGTTGCCATTTCCTTCTCCAGGGGATCTTCCTGACCCAGGAATCAAACCCAGGTCTCCTACACTGTAGGCAGATCCTTTACTGCCTGAGCCATAAAGGAAGCCCAGTAAAACCTCCAGGCTATGGGAAGTCAGGAAAAGTCCCTAATCAAAGATGGGTGTGGAAACAGCTTTTTTTCTCTCTCCATCTTCCCATCTCTGTGTCTCCGCTTCCCTTTTGTCCTTGGATGCTGTCTCTCTGAGGGGCACCCCCTTATCCCCTTCCAGGGTCTGACTAGCTCTGCATGTCTCCCCTTTCTCACAGAGGGTGCGGACGGGTCCCTCCTCCTCTCCCATCCCCTCCCCGTCCCCCAGTCCCACCGACTCCAAGCGCTGTTTCTTCGGGGCCAGCCCTGGACGACTGCACATCTCGGACTTCAGCTTCCTCATGGTTCTAGGAAAAGGCAGTTTTGGGAAGGTTGGATTCCTGGGGCTCTGGGGGAAGGGGAGGATGTCTGGGGGAGGGGTCGAGTTTCTTAGGAATGAAATCAGGGTCTGGGGGAGGAACTAGGTTTCTGAGGCCCCCAGAGATTTGATGGGGCCTCTTGAGTTCCTGGAAAGGAGAGGCCTAAAGATGTGGATACTTGCCCTGAAGGAGTGGCTGGCCACGTCAGGGCATCCGGTCCCCCGAGATGAGAGGGGGGACCTGGCATTCTGTTTCTTTGTCTCCTTGAAAGGGAAGGCTAGGGACCAGCGCTCTGGGTTCCCAGATGGACTAGGCCTCTGTCCCTAGGTGATGCTGGCCGAGCGCCGGGGCTCCGATGAGCTCTACGCCATCAAGATCCTGAAGAAAGACGTGATCGTCCAGGATGACGACGTGGACTGCACCCTGGTGGAGAAACGCGTGCTGGCCCTGGGGGGCCGAGGCCCCGGAGGCCGGCCACACTTCCTCACCCAGCTTCACTCCACCTTCCAGACCCCGGTGCGAAAGGAGGGGGTCCCAGGCTGGCTCAGGGGCCCTGCCTCATCCCCTCCCCCCCAACCCGCCGGATGCATTCGCATTGGCTTTGAGAGTCTGAGTTTGGGGGAGGGCAGAAGAGCCCGGTGGACTCTGAAGGGGCGTGGCCGGCCCCTCCGTGGGTGTGGCCAGCACGCAGGTGGCGTGGAGGGCGTGGCCAGAGGGCTGGCAGCCTGAGTGGGCGCGGCCTGAACTCTCTAGGGGTTGAGTGGGTGTTTCTGGAGTACCGGCTTCTGGAGTAAAAGAGTGCGTGAGTGAGCTTGCCTACAACTGGGCTCTGCGTGATGAGGCTGTCACTCGTGGGTTCTTAGTTAAGGAGTCATCAGAAACAAGGCGTTTCCGAAGACTGTGAAATGGGACAACAAGTCAGAACTGTCAGAGGTTAGAGAGGGCGTGACTCTACTTTCAAGAGCTCTGAGTGGGCGTAGCCAGCTTCCTGGATTTTTTTTTTTTTAATTAGTATTGGGAATTCCCTTCTGGTCTAGTGGTTAGAACTCCATGCTTCCACTGCAGGGGGCCTGGGTTCGATCCCTGGTCGGGGAATTAAGATTCCCACAAGCCAGCAAGGTGCAGCCAACAATTAAAAAATAATTTAAAAATTAGTATCATTTGCAAGTGAAGCCTGAACAGCTTTGGTCCCTAGCAGGTGGCCAAGACTGCATGTGTGAGTGAGTGGATATGGAAAGAGGTTTCAGTTTGCCTGAGACTTCAAACAAATGGTGGACCTCAATCTTAAATCCCAGGAAGGGAGGAGGGGAACACCCGACAGTTGAGAGTAACAGAGGATGGAGTGGGTGGAGATTCTGTGATGGCGGGTAGGCGTACACAGTTGCCCTGGATTTCTGATTGCATGGGCCCAGAGCCTTCCACGCTGGCCTGGAGTGGGCAGGAATGGACGTTTCCCTCCCCTGATGGATGTTTCCTTGCCTCTAAGCCCCTGTCCACCCCCTCCCCAGGATCGCCTATATTTTGTGATGGAGTATGTCACCGGGGGCGACTTGATGTACCACATCCAACAGCTGGGCAAGTTTAAGGAACCCCACGCAGCGTGAGTCTTGGCCAAGAGAGGAGGGTGGGGGGAAAGTGGAAGGGAGTGGTGTCCCGCCTCTGGCCTCCTGACCCCCCTCCCCCTCCTCCAGGTTCTACGCCGCAGAAATCGCCATCGGCCTCTTCTTCCTCCATAACCAGGGCATCATCTATCGGTGAGCAGTCCCAGGCCTTTCAGTGGAGGGAATTGGACCCCCTAGAAGGGAAGGGATTCGAGCTTAATGGCTCCAGGCTGTTAACTCTCTCCCCCTTCCTGCAATTCCTCCCTGCTGCACCCCAACCCACCCGCAGGGACCTGAAACTGGACAACGTGATGCTGGATGCCGAAGGACACATCAAAATCACCGACTTCGGCATGTGTAAGGAGAATGTCTTTCCCGGGAGCACCACTCGTACCTTCTGCGGGACCCCAGACTACATAGCCCCCGAGGTAAGCCCAGCTCCGCCGCTCTTAGAGCTCTCCAAGCTTGCTGCGTGGATGTGCCTGGGGGTCTAGTGTTCGTAATGTGGGGACCTGACCCCGGGGTCTTCATGGGCGTTATGGACTGTTCCAACCACGGGAGTGTTGTAAGTGAGCGGGGCTGGGTCTCAAAATAGGCGAGGTGGACAAGAACTGTGGGTGAATGTTCCGAAAGAGTGGGACCCCCTTTAGGGATTCCAGGGAAGAGGACCTGTTACTAGACCATTCTAAGAAGCTGGGGGAAGATTCCCAGTGTACTCTGAGGAGGTGGGGCCCATCCCACTAGAACATTAGTTTTGTGGAGGCTATCCCCTGAATATTTCAAGTGGGCAAGAATCGGCTCTGACTTTGCTGGGGGGTGTGGCTAATGATCGGACTGTATATAAGCAGACTGAGAGTAGGTCCCAACTTTTCTCCTTGGGAGAGGTGGGGTTGATGGTGCTGTCCTGGATCTTTCCTGGTGACTCTGTTCTTCTGCCTGAGTAACCAGCCAATAGTTTCAAAACATAGCTGCTGGTCAGCATCACCTGGGAAGATTTTGAAAAATACACATACCTGCCCGCCTCTGACTCTGGCCTGTTGTGGCTGGAATTCTTCAGGGCTGGCAAGAGCTATCTTTAACCAGTCAAGAGTATGGCATGTGTCTAGATTTAGGACTCTTGAAGTTCTGTGCAGTCCACCTGACATTGTAAGGAGAGACTTCAGTTATCTAGATATTCTACATGCATGGGCGGAACTTGCAACTTAGTGCTTAGATAGTCTTTATATTGGAACCAAAGGAATGTTCTGAGTAGGGAGAATCTGGTTCTCAAATGTTCCAAAGGATGGAGCCAAAGCATTCTGAGTGTGAAAAGTCTGTGCTGAAAGCATTCAAAGTTGGGTAGGGTTTCCAGGTGGTGAAGCTAGAGGGGCCCACGTTTTCTTAAAACACAAATGACAGTTGCTCACCTTTCTCCCTCCCTGCTAGATCATTGCCTACCAACCCTACGGGAAGTCTGTTGATTGGTGGTCCTTTGGGGTTCTGCTCTACGAGATGTTGGCAGGACAGGTAAGGGACGCTGGGGAGAGGCTGGTTTGGCTAAAGGCAACACAGAAGGGGTGCCACCTGTTACATGGCCTATCTCAGGAGGAGCAGGTCAGGAAGGGATGTCTTTAGGCTGAGTGTACGAAGCTGTAGGGAGAAGTCCCTCTACTAGAAGAGCGCTCTCCGTGGTTCTGAAACATTGACTTCCCACAGGCTCGGGGTTCTTCCCCCTTTTGTGTCTTGGACCCCTTTCTCAGAACAATGCTTTTAAACACATGAAATAAGATAATAGCATTACAGAAGAAGTCAGCATATTGAAATCTGGCTAACAAAATGTTAAAGGCTTAATTGAGTCATTTAACCAACTAAATAAATCTAACTTAAACGTGTATGGTTGTCTAAGGGTATTAGAATATGGACTTATATGTGATTTACTACTAATGAATTAAATGGTATTAAATAGTAATATCTCACAAGAATAGGAAGCAGGTAGAAGGTCTGTCAGTAATTTTAAAGTAGAGATGACTGTTTTGGTTTTTTCCTTTGAGATATCTGCAACTCTTATAAGAAAATATCGGTGATTTCCATCAGTGATAAAGTCGCAACTACTACTGCTGGGGTTTCTTTCCTAAATTTATAAGGCTGAATTTCAATTTTAGATTCCAAAAAAATAAGGATGCATGTTTTTTTCCCATCCAAATTCAAGGACACCCCCCCCCCCCCACTCAGTTGTAGAAACAGACTCCCTAGACCCCACAGTAGAATCTTTGTCTGGATACTGCTTTTCCAAATCCAAGAAGACTGGAGGCCACTCATCCAGCCAAGAGAGTGCTTTTACAGTTTTTTCCTGCAGTTTTTCTCTCTTCTATTTAAATGACACATTGCCTAATTAACACCTTGCTGATTTACATAGCAGATAAAGAGAGACAGAGCAGCAAGGAGGTGCAGAGAGCTGAAGCATCTCAGATAGAAAACAAGAGCCTCTGAGAGTGAGAAAGAAATAGCTTTGGCAGTCTGGTCATGTTTTTCTCCAGGAACTGGGGGCGGGGGTGGGGGTGGTCGGGGTGGGCTCTGCTTGTGGTGGGCAGGAAGGTGGGGCCAGATAGTCAGGCCTCTGGCTCTTTAACACCTCTACTTTCTTAGCCCCCCTTTGATGGAGAAGACGAGGAGGAGCTGTTTCAAGCCATCATGGAACAAACTGTCACCTACCCCAAGTCACTTTCCCGGGAAGCTGTGGCCATCTGCAAGGGGGTGAGAGCCCCCTGACTCCCAGATTCTCCAGGCCCACAACCCACACACCCCACGACTGCCATCCAGGACTGCCCACACATTGTCTCTGCACATTAGGAAAAGGCTCCCACCCCTCAAGTCGATTTACTCCCATCTGCTGAAAAAGCTTATATAGCACAGAGATCTTGTTAGAACAATCACATCCTGCCTTGCTGCCCCAGGCAGTCCAAGGGCGGCCTCTACCCTGTCCTCGGCTCCCCGCCTCTCCCCAGCTCGGGGCAGGCAATGCTTAGCCGAGTGGGTTAGTCAAACCTAACTCCTGCCACTTCTCCTCCTGCGAGATCTGGGGCAAGTCACTCTGGGAGCCACCGTCTCCTCCTCTGGGGTTGTGGAGTGAAGGCAGGAGAAGGAGCCGAGCCTACAGCAGATGTTAGCAGGCTTCTGCTTCGAGCTCCTGTCTGCGCGTCTCTCTGACCACACCTCTCTGGGCTTTTGTCTCGTTCCTCTGCCTCCATTTGCACACGATGGGTGTTCTGTGTTGCTGCCTTGTTGTTTGCTTTTTCTGTGTCCTTCGGGGTCTCTGTTCACCTCTTCTGTCTTCTTCCTCCTCTTTCTGGGTCTCTATTACCTTCTCACCCACCCCTCTTCACACACATACACACACACACACACACACACACACACACACGCACATGCACACTGGATCTCTCCATCCTTCTCCTTCTGCGTTTCTCTCATCTTCTTTTTCTGGGTCTCTATTACCTTCTCACCACCCCCCTTCACACACACACACACGCACACTGGATCTCTGTCCTTCTCCTTCTGGGTCTCTCTCATCTTCTGTTTCTGGGTCTCCGTCTCCCCCTTTCTCTGAGTCTTCTCCTTCATATGGGGTCTTCATCCCTCTCTCTGTGTGTTTGTTTCCGGAGTCTCCCCCACCCCTTCCCCTCTCCTCCCTTCTCTCTTCTCCTACCTCCTCCTCCCTTCTCTCTTCTCCCCGCTGAGTCTTTCCCTCCTTCTGGGTCTCTGTTCCCCCTTTTCTCTGGGTCTTCTCTCTCCCACCTTCTCCTCTGCCACTTTCCCTCTGGGATGTTTTCCCGATCGTCTTCCTCTCTTTCTGGGTTTCTCTGCCACTCACACCTTCACACCCTGATCTTGCTCGTTTCTTTGTCTGTCCCCGGGTCTCTGGGTTTGAGTTTCATCTACCCTGCCTCATGTATCCCCCCTTCTCTTTCTCTCTCCCTCTCTTCTCCTCTTCTCCCACCTCTGCACCCCCCACTGTTCATTCTTCTCTTTCTGAATCTCCATGCTTGTCTCTCCCTATTCCTCCTTCCTCGTCTTCCCCCCACCTCCCTGCCCTGTCTTTCTCTGGGCCTCCTTGTCTGGGACTCTGTCTGTCTGTCCGTCTCTCTCTGTGTTCCCTGCAGTTCCTCACCAAGCACCCGGCCAAGCGCCTGGGCTCGGGCCCCGATGGAGAACCCACCATCCGCGCTCACGGCTTTTTCCGCTGGATCGACTGGGACAGGCTGGAACGATTGGAGATCGCGCCTCCGTTCAGACCCCGCCCGGTCAGTGCCCTCCCGGGAACACCACGCTGGCCCTAAGAGGGCGGACCAGCCGTGCGTTCCGACGCTTCATGGTTCCCTCCCGGTGTTTCCTGCAGTGTGGCCGCAGCGGCGAGAACTTCGACAAGTTCTTCACTCGGGCGGCGCCGGCCTTGACACCCCCTGACCGCCTGGTTCTGGCCAGCATCGACCAGGCTGAGTTCCAGGGCTTCACCTATGTCAACCCGGATTTCGTGCACCCGGATGCCCGCAGCCCCATCAGCCCAACGCCTGTGCCAGTCATGTAATCCCACCTGCCGCCACCAGGCGTCCCCACGGCTCCCTCCTCCGCCCAGGCCTTGGTCCTCGCCTCACCTTGCCACCCCCCTTTCCAATTCTAGACCTGGCTCCCCAGCGTTCTGGCCTCTGCCCCGCCCCTCGGGCTCTAACCGCCCGCCCAGGCGTTCCTGGCATTCCGCACTCCCAGCGCGCTCTCTAGAGTCTTACCGTGCGCTAGATTCTGCTGCTGTTGAGCCCTAGATTCTGACCTGCCTGCGCGCCCTGGACTCTGTCCCACCATTTACAGAACCACCGACGCCATCCCAGTTCTTTTTTTTTTTTTTTTTTTCGTTTTGTTCTTCCTTCTTCTTCTTCCTGGGAAATAGTCTCATGGGGCGGGCTGTTCTAGACTAGGATTCCAGAACATCCCCCACCTCCGAGGCCCCACCCACCGCCGCTCCAGTTCCGGAGTAAGTGGGGGGCTGTGCCCCCTTGCTCCAGTGCCCCTCTTCTGCGCCCTGGGGGTTCCTGGGAAGCATGGAAGATACCCCCCACACACACACCTGTTCTCCGTCAGCTTTCGTCCTAGGCTCCCCCACCCCCAGACCCATCACCGCATGGCTCCTCCAGTCCTGCTCGGAACCCCACCTCTACCCAAATGCCTGCCACTCTTGGGACTCTCTGTGATCCCCTCTTCCGCCCGGCCACAGCTGCTGGAGAATAAATTTGGGATGCTGATGCTCAAGCGTTTGGATGTTTTTCTTCTAAGCTTGGAGAATGAAGGGGGATGGAGGTGGGACGATGACTGTACATAGAAACACACAGAGAGAGGCTGAGTAGGGGGCTGCGGGCGGGGGGGTGGGTGGGGGGGAGATGCAGAGGCCCATAAAGTGAGAGAAGATACCCACTGCATGAACGCAAACAGCAGAGACCCAGAGAAAGCAAAGACACACAGAGAGAGGACCAAAGTGGACACGGGAACGAAGAGGCAGCTGTACGCACAGACAGCTGAGAGTGTCAGGCAGAGATCGGGAGCACAGAGACACAAGCACGCACACATTGGCCCAGAGCAAGGTAAAGCTCTCAGGCACACAGAACTCGGAGGCCGGGAAGTCGAAAGAGGGAAGACAGAGGCAGCCCTGCCATTGAGAGACCGTACGACAGAGAAACCTGTGAGCTTAAGGCTCAGCGACGTGAGGCATAGGGCGGACAGACGCACCCTGCGGGCCTCTTTCCCTTGACCCACTTGCGAGTGAGGGGCGTGGAGGGGACAGTCCCAATAGACTACACTTCCCAGCGGACCCTGTGGCAGGCCCTCCCCCCAGGCGCGGCCCCCGCCGCCGCCAGGGCTGATGGGAAGTGTAGTCCCTGGATGGGGACAGGCCCGTGGAACGGTGTGCTTCTGTCTGCCTTTGGAGGGGACTGAGCCCCAAAGCTTCACAGGCTTCCTTGGGGAGCCCCAGCGTCTCCTCGTCCACGCAGACTCCTGGGTTCCCGAGACTCGGTCTAGCTGGATGCTGGGGCTCCCCCTGTCTCCCCCCCCCCCCCCCCAGCACAGCCGCGAGGCCCCCATCCGTGCCCGCGGCCCCCAACCCCGACTCCGACCCTCGGCGGGCAGCCTGCCCCTTTAAGAGTGGCCCCGCTGACATCACGGCGGGGGTGGGGGGGTGCTGGCCCGGCTCCCGGCTCCGCGGCGGCTGCAGGACGCGGCTCCGCTCTGCGCCCGCCCGCTGCTCAGGGGACCCCCGGCCCGGGACGCCCCCTCCCGTCTCCTCCAGCCGCCCAGACCCCAGGCTGCGCCCCCACGCCTGGTCAGAGCCCCAGTCTTCATCAAGGGACCCCCAGGACCGCCCCTGCTGTCTATCCGTCTCAGGGTCTCTCCTCTCTTTCTCTGTCCCTCCCTCTTTCTCTCCCTCCCTGTCTCTCTCTCTCTCTCTACTTCAAGGTCTCTGGGCCTCAGCATCTCGCAGCCCAAAGGCCTTTGGCAGTCTACCTGTCTCTCTGTGACCTCTCCACTTCCAGGAGCCCAGAATCTCTGAGCCTGGGGGAAGAGGGGGCCTGCCTAGATCCGGTCTCTGCCTCTCCATCTCTCTGTCTCTTCCAGGCCATCTCTGTGTCTCCTCCAGTCTCCAGACCCGGGAGTCTCAGAATTTCACAGCCTCCGGGTCTCAGTTCTGGGCAGCCTCTCCGCCTCCCCGTGCGCCCCTGCCCCTCTCGGGTTCCCCTGTCTCTGTTTCTATTCTCTCTCGCTCCCTGCCTCCCCCATTCTCGAGGCCCATCTCCCTCCCTCCCCGCATCCTATCTCCCCCCTCCTCCTTTCCTGCCCCTCCCCTCCTCCGCAGTAGCCAATGAGCGGCCGCCGGTCCCAGCTCCCGGCGTCGTCCGCCGAGTGAGGCCGCGGGCGCGGGGGGTGGGGGGTGGGAGGCCGGGAGGGGGCCGGGACGCCGGGCTCCGGGGCGGGGGCGGGGGGCGCGGGCACCGGCGACCCCGGTGGCGGCGGCGGCCGGGGGAAGCCGCGGGGTCGGTCATGCGGCTGCGGGGCCCGCGGCCCGGAGCGTCCGCCAAGCCCTGAGCGAGGTGAGCGCGAGGGGAGAGTCCGGGAACCAGGTTGGTGGGGGGCGGGGGGGGGTCCTCCTGAGGCGGCTGGGGGTCTGGACTAAACGGGGCTGAGTGGCTCCTGGGGGTGAGATGCCCTCGATCGGACGCCCGAGTTCGGGGGGCAATGGGCGATGGAGGGATGTTTAGGCCTGGGGAACCCGGGGGGGACGGAGTCTGAGGGTCCCAGAACGGGGCAACCATACTCTCAGCGTCCGAACCTCGGAGACTGTGGGCACGGGAGAGGGTGCGGGCCGGACCCTCGAGGGAGGCGGTCGTGGATGAGGGAGAAGGGCCCGGGCCCACAAGGGCCGGCTGTGAGTCTGAGAAGGGGTTCCCGGAAAGAGGGCGTACGTCTCCCCAGGATTGAGGGCCGATGGAGTTTGGACTTGGGGACCCCCGGGGATCCAAAAGCCTATATCCAGGAAAGGCAGGGATAAAGAAGGATAAGAAGGAGGCTTTGGGCCTGGGGAAGGGAGGGGGGTCCCAAAGGAGGAAGGGTTGGCGGTTGAAGGCGAATGAGGAGATCTGGGCGGGCCGCTGAGAGTGTGGAAGAACCGAGTGAGGAAGGAGGGGCGCCCCAAAGCGGGAGTGAGAAGGGTGCCGGTGGGCCACGTCCCAGCCGTCTGAGTCGGAGGAGCCAGTGGGGGGGAGCTGAGGTCAGCCACCTGGGACGGAGGCGGCCCGCGAGACAGGGGTTCTGACGCTGGTTTCTGAGATGAGCGGACTGGAAGGAGAGCAGGCAGCTGGCGATCAAGCCCTGGAGCCATGGGGCGGGGGTCGGAGCTCCGGCGGTCTCAGACTCCTGGATCCCTCTGGAAGCGGGAGGTGGGGTGGGGGGTGGGGGGAGTGGGGGTAGGCGAGGCGGGGGGTGGGGGGTGGGGGTGGGAGGGGTGGAATCCCTAGAGGCTGGGGCTGGGGAGGGGCCCAGACAGGGATGAAGGTTGTCTCAAGCTCCACGGTTCTTATTGGGGTGGTGTCAAGTTTAAAGAATTTCAGTTTCAAGGCTCCAGGAATTCTGGTCAAGGAGAGTGGGGGCTCAAGTCTTGGCCGCATTGTTGGTGGGGGGGGGGGGAGTGCTGGTTAGGGCTCTTAGCCATCACAGTTAAAAAGGTGATGGAGATCGTGGTACTCAGGTAGGTTGAGGGCTCCTCTTGAGATAAGATGGGGATCCCAGTTTGAGTCCCCCAGATCATGAGACTGTGTGGTTTAGGGAGAAATTCTCAGGAAAGGGTGAGTGTGGTGGCTAAGGGATTAGGAGCACCCTGGAAGGAAATCTCCAGATTTAAGATTGGACTTTTTGAGGCCACAGCCATGAACTTGGAAGCTCTCTTGTTTTGAAGGTCCTGGGTTAGGGGGATCTGGGTCCAGGTTGGAGGCTGAAGAGGGTCTATAACTGGAAGTCTTATCTAGGGGAGCTGGAGTCCAGACTCTCTGGGAGGGGATTTGGAGGATCTTGTAATGAGAATGGGGATTGCAGACTTCCTGATGTAGGTTTTAGAGTTCAGAGCCCTGATTCCTATTGAACGATGGTCACTTGCTCTAAATAGGATACTGAGAGGTGGGGGTGTGGGGGGAGGATTCCCAGATCAAGGTTTGGGCATTCTGAAGTCTCTAGCCAAAACCCTGCTCCAGGTGTCTAGACCCCAATATCCTGGGAGCCAGCAGCCTGTGATGGAGTTCTAGCACCCAAGATTCAGAGGCTTGTAGGGATTTGGGATGGTGTAGGGGATTAATGTTCTGGAATCTTGAATCTGGGTTGTGGTCCATGATTTCAGATTAGGATGCCAAATGGAGGTCAAGGCACCATACCAGAGTTAGAAAGTCAAGGTCTTGGCGTTAGAATTGGACGTTAAGGGTCAAGAGAAGAGTCCAAGGACTTCTCTGGTGGTCCGGTGGCTAAGACTCTGTGCTCCCAGTGCAGGGGGCCCAGGGTTCAATCCCTAGTCAGAGAACTAGATCCCATGTGCCACAACTAAGAGTTTGCAAGCTGCAACTAAGACCTAGCTCAGCCAAATAATTTTTTTTTTTTTTTTTTAAGATTTCAACTAGAATGGGAGGCTTGAGGTCAAGGCCAGGGTACAGGATTAGGGTCCTTGGTTAGCGACCCACTTGGGGATTAAGAGTTCCCATTAAGGGTCAAAAAAGGGGGATCGGGGTGTCAGGTCCGGGCATGCAGTGGGGATTGGTGGCCTAGGTTAGGATTTCTAGGCAAGTTACTGGTCCAAACCCTGGCTGGGGTCACGGGTCAGGACCCAGGGGGCAGATAGGAGAGAGTTCCGTTCGGGGGGTTGCTGGTTCTGACCCAGGGCCGGTGTCCCCCGTGGCTGCATGTTGTCTGGGGGACTCTAGCGGCCCCAGCGGGGCTCTCCACTGGAGCTCCCCGTTCCTCAGGCCCCGCAGGGCGCCCCCCGCCGCTGAGGATGAGTCACTG